TTATATACATTCAGAGGTTTTCCATGAACACTCTCCCCCGGCAGTGAGAGGGAAGCTTTAGGTAACACGCAGGAACTCTGACACTGGAGGAAACTCCACAGAGACGCGCTCTGGACCCAAGTGTTGCTGCTGCTGCTGTTGTTGTTGGTGGTGGTGTTGGTGGTGGTGGTGGTGTTGGTGGGCGGCAGCTGTATTTACCACTGGAGCCTGATGCTTCCTCTGATTTAATGAGCGTCGGGGCCACTTCAGAGCTGATGTCACCGTTCACCTCAGAGCGAGAGCGGCGCTTCGGCAGCTGCTGATGACAGATTATAATAAACCCTTCAAACAGCTTGGACCGTTCGTTTGGTGCTGCTGTGTTTATCAGCGTTCACATGTTGCACGAGAACCCGAGGCCTCTGGTGTGACAGAGATTTGGTGACGAAGCTCCTCGTTTTGATGAGTAAAGGCTTTTTTTATTCATATAGCATTGTTTGTTTTGTACCATAAATATATTGATTGATTTAAGCGCTTTTCAAGGAACGCAATTTTTGCAAATTATAATCCTGGAGCCAAATGCATTGTCTTCTTCCCCAGAACAGTTTTCCTTCATGCTCCTTTCTAAATAAGTGTTTTGCACAATATTGTGTTCTCCTTCCTGTTGGAGTCCAGATGTGTATAAAGAATAAATGCTCACCAGAATATAAGAGTTGGAGGAATTCGTCCCGACCGCTTTGCACGGGGAGCCCGACACCGTAATTCATTCTGCTTTTAAAACACACAAAACAAAGTAATGTGGATTAAACCGAGGAACTGTGTGTGATGAAATGTGAAGCCAATAATTGTATTTTCTATTTATTCTGTGGACAAATGAACCCCACACCGATCATCACACCTGGAGCTCTCTGTTCTGAACATCAGTTCACGTGGAGCCTGGAGGAAACTCGAGGTTCTCTACGAGGTTTATCACAAGATCACGAAAGGCAGGTTTACAGTCAGTCTGTCAGGATTAAAGAATCTTAAGAGAACAGGAACTGAACAAACCCAAATCTAAACAGACAAAGGAGGCGGGGACACATGGACTGAGCACACAGGGAGGTCAGGACGACTGAGCTCAGGTGAAACACATCAGGGCGGGACGGACAATCACAGAGGAGGGAAACCAGACAAAGACAGGAAGTAAAACAAGTTAAAAAAGAAAAATATTCAAAATAAAACTCACAGAAAAGTGATTTAGTGATGTCTATTGAAATGTTAGAATAAAGTTTCAGGTAGAAGCTGATTGAGGCAGTCGTGGAGTGACTGGAAGTGAAGGACCCTGTGCTGAAGTGTCCATCACTCTGCAGAGGGAGCCCTCGTGTTTCACGCTGCCTCGGTAATTGTCTCTTGAATGAGTCACTCACATGTTCCTGTCTCCCTCTGCAGGACCCGAGCAGGAAGTTTCAGTTTCCTCTCGCTGCACTAGTTGTCACTGTAGCACAGGGAATGAACAACATGTGTGACATCTCATGTTAACTTCCACTTTTGTTTTAATATTGGCTTCTCTGTCTCATGTAACTTATATTTTTTACTTTATTCTCATTTCTATTCTTATTTCTACAAGGCACAGATTCTAGATTACTATATATAAACTTGACATTTTAATTTTTTTAAATATTTTTACTGTATTCTTTTCTTATTATTTAGAAGAAAGAGCAAAACAATTTCTTTCAGGATGATTAAACCGGCGATCTTCTGGTTAGTGGACGACCCGTTTTGCCTCCTGAGCCACAGCCCACAAGTCTGACCTCATCTTAACTTTGCTTCTTATGAGTTGAGACAAGATGGCGTAAAAAAAAAAAGTTTCCTTCTCCACAAGTTTTTAATCAGATTTTCATTCATTTCCTCCATCTCTGCTGCAGCGCTGAGTGTATTTGCGTCTTTCACCTGAAGCTCAGGAAACTAGGAAACTGACTCACGTCTCCGAGAAAATGATGTTGAGTTTTCAGAAGTGTCTACAAACGCACAATGTCATCTTTATTCCACACAAACAGCCCATTATGCTGCTGCTCTGCATCTGACCCTGTCGCCGTTTTCTTATATTTTACCTCTTCTAGCACCGTATCGAGTCTCTGCAGCCCGGCAACCAACAGAAACATGTTCATTTCTTTTCTAGATTCACGTGTGGAGTTTTTTAAAACCAGAGCCAAAGCAGCACTCGGAGCTCTGCACGCGCTCGATGGCCTTTGTGTCAGGATGAGCTCAGTCCTGTTTTGTGGGGAGCTGAATGAAATGCCAAGCTCATCGTGTATTTCATTCTTGCTGGATTTCGCACAGTGAATCTGTATTCGGGCCGAACTCATTACACCATCGAGGGGCTAAAGGCCGCATGAGTCATCGTGGCATATCTGTGCGAGTGGGCTGGAGACGGCTCATGCAGAGAGGCCCACGTGCTCTCGCGTTTTTCACCCGTGGTGATGTCATAACTAGAGACTTCCTGAACACAGGGTTCATTCACAGAGCCCAAAACAAGCTGTCTCCACGGCAACTCCAGCCCCGCGGGCATCCGAGTCCCCTTTTTTTTTGTCTTGTTGTTATTTGTTGTCCGAGGGAGGATTCGAGTCGGAGGCCGCGTGTGTGTGTGTGCACTGACACGTGCGCCCATGTAAACAGTGCGACGTGACCAGGTTCCACTTCAGGTCCTGAACATTTTGATGCTGCTTTATAACAAACACGTCGGGTCTCCCAGGCTCGTCTCTTTTCCTGGCTCGGGACGGGAGGGGAGCGTTTGATGAGTCACTGTCTGTTGTGAGTCCACTAGTTTTCAGTTTTCCTCTCACAAGAGAAACCGGAGAGACAGAAGACACTGGTTTCTATGGTACCAACAGAACCTCGATATTTCATTGATTTATGAATCCTTTTTCATTCAGTATTTAGATTACTTGTAGTGTTTGTGCTCCGAGGGTCGCAGGGCGGCTGGAGCTAATCCCAGAGAAGGTTGGGTCAGCAGGTCGACAGTGCATCACAGGGTCGACACACTGAGACCATCTACAGCTGCAGAGACAACTACAGACTCGAATTAATCTGAGCTGCGTGTTTATGGACTGAGGGAGGAAGACGGAGAAAACCCACAGAGACGACATGTAAACTGTGGTTCACAACCAGAACCTTCCACAGCCGTTGATTCACTTAAAAGCTCATCAGCTGAAGCTGATGCGTTTAAAAAAACAAGGACGATCGAGTCGTATGTGGTTATTATTTATTTCTACTTTTAAGGATACAAAAATAGCATGAGACAGACTTTTTAAAAGGCGGCACAAGGTCGAGTGAGACTCAAACTGAAACAAATACGAGACAAAACTATCGACACAGAAAATAAAATAAGACAGAATTAATAACCCTTCATTAACCAAAGACTTTTTTTTTTTAAAGGACTGTAAAATTATAATAATAATTATAATAACAAATGCATGAACAAAAATAGAACCTATTAAGGGGAAACTTTAACAAATTTAAGGTCATGTAAATCATAAATTCCCTTCAGACGACAACAGACTTGTACATGGTAATAAAACATATGAAAGATATGATGATAACTGAATTATAAACAGATAAAGGATACGAAACATTCTACTTCCACTTCAACAATCGCACTTTGTGTCTAATATTTACAGGGAAGGGGAAAAAAAACAAACTATGTCATATATAGATTACATTCAAGAAATGTCAAATGCACTTGTGCTGTACTGGCTCAATGAGAAATATATCAGCTTTGCTAATATTACAAAATATAATCTTATTATATCAAATAGGTCCATATCAAATATTAAACATTGAGATTCAGTCGTATATTTTACTTTTGTTTTTCTTTTATAATCACAGAAATGACACTTGGCACTTTTAAGGTCCACTCCAATTCATTTACTTCTATTTGAAATAGAACAAAATATCACAAAGACATTGTTTTTAAACTGCTGCCCTTCGTATAAAGCACACCAGTAATCCAGACTGTATGTCGCCATCGTGCGGACAGTGTGACGGCAGCTGCGGAAAATAAAATCTCTACGTGTGACGGCACGAAGCCTCTGCACAGGCGGCCGCTCGACGTTACAGGTGGACTGTAAATCCAACACGATACACGGCTCATACAACAAAACAACACACACAGAATAAGCTTTGGATATTTTTGTGTTAGACTAAATATGTTATTACGATCAGAAATAAAACAGACAAATAAAATTTGATTAATAAAAAAAAAAAAAAAAGCAATAAAACCACCTTTAAATCTTCAGCTTTCAGGAGCCAGACTTCAGACCTCGAACGATGTCAAACAACCGAAGCATAGAAATCATTAGAAAACGTCACCTGAATATAATGCAATATATATTTTAGGAATATAAAATGGTACATTATTCACATGACTCAATATTATATAAAACAAAGTAATTGCATTGAGCCCCTCTTATTGAAAACAGTGCATATCGGGCGCGTCGCAATAGTTCAACTGTGTAAGGTTAAGGCAGCGTGCGTCTCACTTTCAGAAAAAAAAACTGCACGTTAAGAATGAGATGATCGGCTTTGGACACTCTTCATGTAAAAGTTAGAAAACTTGCACATTGTGCGAGAACAATCAAAGACAAAGATTTTTGGTCACGAGGAATATCTGATATGTCGTATCTGGGCTGAACTTTTTGGTGCGATGCAAAGAAACTGCTGCGAAAGCTTCATTCACGAGTGTGAGGCGAACGTGTGTTTTATGGCTGCTGCTGCTGTTCTGGGGATTTTTATTTTTTATTTTATCTTGCTTTTGTAAAACAAAACCCGGAGCCTGGAGAGGAGATGAACAGAATAAGGCACATTCTGTGTTTGTCGCTGTGGTGTCGGGAAAAACCTGCTGCAGACGTGACGGGTCTCACTGATTCTTCAGGTTTCCTGCAGGAAACATCCAGAGCTGATGTTCCTACGTCTGCGGCTGAAGAAATGAGGGAGGTCTAATTGGTGTGTGTGTGTGTGTGTGTGTGTGTGTGTGTGTGTGTGTGTGTGTGTGTCGAGGGGGGGTGGGGTGTTGTTGTCACTTCCTGCTGCTGGAGTCTGGCCTCTGTGTCTCTATGTCTGTCCTCTGGCCTGAACGCCCGTCAGATCCTTCCTTATGATCTCATTCACTGCAAAGGACAAGACAGAGACGACAGAAAGATTAATTCCAGTGTTCGTCCTTTAAAACCTCACAACTCTCAACATGAACACTTCGACTCCTCGCACTCTGCGTGTGCACGGCAGGGTGCACCACTGCTGACCGACCACCAGAGGTAGAGCTCTGCAAGTGCGTGTAAGTGATTACTTCCTGTTGCTCAGATCGTGACGAGCGTACACACACACACACACACACACATCAACAGAAGAGGAAGAGCGTTGAAATGGAAACTTTCACAGTGTCATGTTTCTAAAAATAGAGTCAGGATGAGCGGACGAGAAACGTAAAAGCCTTCGTCGTGCAATTTAAAAAAAAGTACAAATTGGGGATTTGCAGTAGAATACTTCACTTTCTTCACACCTGAAAACACGTGAAACTACAGAAACTACAGGTTTTGAACGTACACTTTGTGTTTCTTTGTACGTTGCAGACAGAAAAAGTGGAAGTGCAGCTGCTCACACAGTCAGGTAGTTCTTCATTATACAGGAAGGAACGCCGGCTATGTGTAATATGTCACCTCTCCAGATATGCCACGCCGTCTGTGTTTGGTTCTGGTGTTTATCTGGGAGCGCGGGCCTGGAGGCCTACTGTGTGGGGACTGTGTACACTGGAGACATTATCGGTCGGAGCCACCGCTTCCACTCTGCCTCAGGGAACCTCATTAGGCCCGATGAGTAATATAAGTATTTCAAAGTGGGCCAAAAAAGCTTTTTGCCTGCAACCATTCGAGGGCACGTCGGGTCTGTGATTTTGTAACCATGGCGATGGGCAACACTGGAAAAATTAAAAATGTGTATGTTAGAATCTGATTAATGGGCGAAAGGCGGAACAGCGTGAAGATATTAAAATGATTTGGTGCAGGAGAAAAAAAAAAACAAAAAGCCGAGCTGGTGTTTGTACGATCTGTGCAGAGCCTTGATTTACATGACAGAGAGGAAAAGGGCGCGACTATCAAAACACGTCAAACGAAATCCGACGCCCCCTCACCCGCACGGCAGCGTCCCTCCGATTAGATATCACACGTCTCACCACTGAATTATCTTAAAGGAAAAAGTTGCAAAGTGATTTCAGGTTTAAAAACAAAAAAACAAAACAAAGAACAACCCAGACAAATTTTGGGCTGGGAGGGAAAATATGATTTCTACTTCTTAATTATGGCAGGAGCACAAACGAGTGTTTTTGAAATCTAATGAGGAAATGAGACAGAGATGCTCCGGCAGCCAACACACCAACACACCAACACACCAACACACCAATCTGTGTCTGTGCTTCTCTGGCTGATGGTTTGCAGATGTGTGGAGGAGCAACAGGCCGCAGCTCAACACTGAACACATTTTATGTCCCGAGCATCTGAGGGCTGCAGGACGGAGGCAGCAGCCAAACCGGGGCCCTCAGCTGTCGTCACAGCACCAGCCTCCCTGTTTATTTTAGTTTGTAGTGGAATTCCCTCCGACACCTAATTCCTTAAAGAAACTTTCATCTCCCCAGCGGTGCCACTGGGTTTTTTTTTTTCTCCTGCTGCTTCTCTGAGCATAAAACCAGCTCAGAGAAGCAGCAGGGGCGACAGACAGTGGGGCTTTGCTGAGTCTAATGAAGGGTTGGCACGGAGCGGCTATTTGAGGCTGGCGGAGGGAACACTCGGGCTACTCTCCTCAGTAGGTGAACGTCTGGCTCCGGGTTCTGCACCAATGAGCTGCTCTGTTTAACAAACCGACGGCGGGAGGAGAGAGAGAGAGAGAGAGAGAGAGAGAGACACCTTGTACAGTGGCTGACTCAGTCGCCTGCTGAGAGGGCTGGAAGGTGTGTGTGTGTGTGTGTGTGTGTGTGTGTGTGTGTGTGTGTTGGACTGGATTGATCGGAGTGATGTCGGATCGCAATGAGGCTGAAAACCACAGAGACACAAGAGAAAGTGACTGGACTGACAGTTCACCACCAACATAACCACTCTCCCTAGTGTGGCTCATTTTCTGTCATGAAACAGTCGTCACACACGACCACGTGTTCAGGATGTTCATATGGTAGTTCCTCTCTCTCTCTCTCTCTC